ATAATGGACATGAGAAAAGAGTACCCAGAGATGCTCAGAAATGGTGTTAGATGCCCTCAGATATGTCCTTTTTAATCTCTGAATTCTGGAGAGTATGAATTTCTGTAAATAGGAGAATTATCTACAAATTACTAAGTTCCTCCTGAGGAGCTCCATTAAAACAAATGGAAATTGCCCAGTAGCAGGGGCAACCAGACACAAAACTTGTATTTATTTGCAAAATGTATTTGCCGCCTATCTACTCAACTTCCATCAAAGGACTCTACAAACTTACTTGACTTACCCATGTGATTTTCAATTAATATATCGCTGTCAAAATTCATATAATGTATTATGACAAAAATAAATAATGAAATGATTATACTGCATAATAAGCAATAAACAAGACAACTTAATGTTAGAATATTTCAATAAGCACAAGAAGTTGAGATCTGCCTTTTTATAATTTATTCCAAACTGTTTCTTATTCATTAGTTCATTGTGGTATTAAAAACCAATGTTTTCTTTACAAATTAACAATGACTAATGCCTTTTAGAATTAATTGGTCTATTCTAAGCGTTTAAGGCTTAGACTATTGTGCAAATCCAGCTATTCAACAAACCATGATTAAACAAGTCATAGTTTAACTGTTGAAATTCAGTTATACAAGTAGTCCTCACTTAACAACGGCAATTAAGACACAATTTTCTATTGCTAAGCAATATGATTGTGAAGAGCAATGTCATGTAATCACTATGATTAGCAGCATCAGTTATGGCAATTCCCAATTACTGCCATTAAGCCAATCACTGCAAGTTGTTAAGTGAGGACCTCACATGATCACGTATTTTCTTGCTGGCTTCCCCATTGACTTTGTTTGTGGAAACCCAGTAGGGAAATCATGATCGTGTGATGGTCAGAAATACTGTGATGGTCAGAAATCTGGGCCACTTGTCAACTGCCTGGATCATGATCACAGATCACAGGGACCCTACTGGAACTTTGAGGACTAGCTGTAAGTAAGACTCATTCAGTGCCATAGGAAGTTTGAACAGTTATTGAACAAATGGTTGTTAAGTAAGGACTGCCTGTATTATAAAGAAGAGCTATATTAAACTATCCATGACTATGTGAATAAGTTATAGTGGAGCCTTGAGTATAAAAATTGGACGGGTCTTTATTTAATAGAAGGCCATAAATCTCTGATTGGTGTGTTTGCAGAAGCTCTGTGTTAAGTAGACTGTGAAGTTCAAAAACATTTCAGAAGACAATGAAACACTACCCTGTAACTTTACCAAGAAAAGTGGATAGATGCAATCATTAGAAGTTGAACTCAACTTGAGGGCACCTTTATAATCACATGATAGAGTTGGTTAATAATGGAACTTCATGTTGAACTAATAGTCTTTCAGTACAACACAAAAATGAGATCCTTTCATTGTTGCTCACTCTTCATTGCTGGCCTATGTGTTTTCTATGAAATTTAAGTGATGCAGCTACAGAGGAGAGCCATCTGAGCTCCAAATTTGTAAACGTCTCAACAAGTTGATCTTTAGGGAACTAACTGAAGCATATTAAGATCCCAAGGCTTATGCAGCTCAGGGATTTCAATTTGCCACTTGGCAATGTTAAGTCTGGGGTGACTCGGGAGTTCATGGCCTCCTTGGCAACCATGGGTTTGTCTAAAGTCGTCACAGGCCTAATGCATACTGGAGGTCACACATTTCCTCAGGGCAGCTGAGACATGATCTGATTTTGGAGGACATAGTAATCACTTTCTTGCTCCTTTTCAGCTTATTGGTGCCACCCACACTGTCTTGGTTTTCTGAGGAGCTCCGAGAAATGAAGTGTGTGAAGAGATGCCTGAAGTGTGTAGGAGGAAGATGAAGAGTGAATCTGATTGAGGAAGACTATGAACCCATATTAAAGAATACATCATACTGATAATAAGGATAGCAAAATTTCTCTGCTTTTACTGTTTTTCAGTACCATTTTGGGCAACCCACTACTCCCTGTTGGAAAGGATGGGTCATAGGATCATCTCCAGGGATGCTGTGAGAAATATTTGTGCCATTTGGCAGATAAAGTTGCTCAGATCGGCTCAAAGTTGGACTGTTTGGTTCCTGTTGAGGTGCCTGGAAGAAGGCCTTGTAGAGGTAGTCCTCAATTTACAGCCATTGTTTGAAGTTACAAAGGAACTGACAAAAGTGACTTATGACTCGTCCCCACACTCGTGACTGTTGCAGCATCCCCAAAGCCCATGATCAGAATTCTGGTGCCTGGCCACTGGCATGTAGCTGCATCCTGGGATCACGTGTTCCCTCATTTCCGACAAGCAAAGTAAGTGGGGGAAGCTGGTTTTGCTTAATGATCACGTGATTCAGTTAACAGTTGCAGTGATTTACTTAACAACTGTGGCAAAATAAGTTGTAAAATCAAGTGCATCTCGTTTAACAACCTTCTTGCTTAGCAATGGAAATTCTGGTCCCAATTGTGATCATAAATCAAAGATTACTTATATGCTCATCTGTGAGTTTGATTCCGTGACTCCTGAGGATTCTGCACCATGTTAGCTTCACCACCTGCTTATTAGATATATGTCCTTCCTGGTAATGAAAATTACATGAAATTTGCCTTATAGTTGGTTCCATGTGATGATGTCAGCATCTTTCAGTAAGAAGGTGGTTCCATTAGCTTCAAAGGCGGCTGAGGTGCATTTTCTCTTCAAGAATCTATTGCTAGCCTCATCAGTCCTGGATAACTACTGTCCAGTCTCTAATCTTCCCTTTTTAGGGATGTTGGTAGGGAGAATACTTGGGCTTCAACTCCAGAAGATTCTGGAGGAAGTGGATTACTTGGACCCATTTAAGTTTCAAGCCAGTATGGAGACAGCATTAATCAAATTTCTTGATGATCTGTAGTGGGGCCAAGTTGTGGATGATGAGTCTATCTCTGTGTTCCTTGGTCTCTCAACAGTTTTTGATAACATCACCCATGGTACCCTTTTAGACAGCTTCAAAAATCTTCTTGGGAGATGGGCGACAAATTAATTTAATAAATAAATAAAAATAAAATAAAATAAAATTAATTTGTCGCCCATCTCCCAAGAAGATTCTTGAAGCTGTCCAAAAAGGGTACCATGAGTGATATTAATTAATTTGGGATGGAAGGCACTGTTTTATGGTAGTTCTTTTTTTCTGTGCTCAATTTTATATTGGCAACCAGATAGATCTTCAAAGGCCTTCCTCATTACAACTATGGTTACAACCGTGTCCTCCTCTTTGAATAGATGCTGTGAATGTTGGACTTCGAAACTGTGCACCACTTCTTTCCGGATAGTGCAACCCCATCCAGAATCAACAATAGAATATGCAGAATCAAGTATTTCCAAAATCCACTTGGCCTTACTAGAGTTCAGTCTGAGTATTTTCTTTTGCATCCAGACTCTGATAATGTTCAGACATGAAGATAGAACTTTGATGACATTGTTTGGTTGATCTAAAGTTAAGATATGCCAACTGATGACTTAAGGCTTCAATTAGATGTTTTCAAATAGGAGTGGGAAAAGTTGGATCCCAAGGCATCTTACATGTCTAGGGTTAGTTCTCTTTCCCCACCAATAACTGAAACTGGTCATAAAGAGAAACAAACTATCTCAACACTGTCATTTCAAATGTGTATGGAGATTCTCAATCATTGAGGTCATGGTAGTCCCAAAGATGCTTTTTCCAAAAGGCAACTGAACTTTTTATTTTAATGTTTCATTCCTCATCCAAGAAACTTCATTTCTGACTAGTGGAGTCGAATCCAACCTTTTAACGTGACCTCATATCTATTGGTAGGCAGTGCATCATGTTCAGCAGTGACTCTCTGGCATTCTGACTGCTACATTCTGGATTATCATCAGAGACAGCCCAATACAGAGCATACTACTATAGTCTAAGCATGTGTGATTGATGGCCTAAATCAGTGTATCACCATGATTTCATAGTTCAGATGGGTTACATATAGTGTATCCACATAAACTGGGCAAAGCTCCTCCAACCATAGCTTGCTGTTCTAGTGGGACCCATGAATCCAGAAGGGCCTGTAAATTGCAGATCTGTTTCTTCAGTGGGAATGTAGTCCTGTCCAGAGCAGTTGCTGGGGCTGTCAATAACGCAAAGTGTTCCTGGACAAAAAATATTTTTTTCTTGTTGGGATTCAACCTGTTTGTACCATGCTTGATAGTTCAAAGCTTTTAGTGACGTCATCAATTGGCATATCTTAACTTTAGATCAACCAGGTAATGCCATCAAAGTTCTGTCTTCATGTCTGGATATTATCAGAGTCTGGATGCAAAAGACAATATTCAGGCTGAACTCTAGTAAGGCCAAGTGGATTTTGGAGGTACTTGGATCTGCATATATTCTATTGTTGTGGGAAGTCTAATTGAACTTCTAATAGATGAGGGACAAATTCACATCTTCTAGGCCCTAGTCATCTACCCTAGTGATCAATGAGTATTTCCATGCCCAGGCCAGAATCCATACTGAAAGGGTTTCAAGTAACCCATTTAAATTAGGAACTTCTGTACAATAGCTGATTCCCAAATAGCTTCTCAATTTTCTTAGAACAGGGAAGTCAAATATTGAGTTAAAATTGCAAGAATGACTAGATAAAGAGATAGCTTCCTCAGAAGAAGTTGTACCACTCCCTCTTTCAAAGCATATGGTTCTTCACTCTCTGAGAAATGTCACCATCCCCTCACTCTGGACCATGACCTTTACAATAATGTTCATTGTATTGGGAAAAGTGATTGTTATTTCTTCTGTCTCATCTGCTGCTAGACATTTTGTGAATGGAGATGAATAAGCCTTGTCTGTGTTTGTGGCCTTTCCTTTATAAGACTTATTGGAAGGGATTACAACTATAGAGTAGTAATTATTAAAAAAATCATTGCAAGAAGAAACTAAAAGCAAAGTATAGTCATTCAATATTGGATAAAGTGTTGGTTAAGGAGCTTCTTAGAAAGCTATTCTTATATATAAATATAGGAGGAGCTCTTTTATTGTTTAGTCATACAATTACACATGGTAGCAGCTACCAGTTTTTCCCACAACTTCAGGAAAAATTAAACATGAAAGAAGCGGTGATGTGAAATATTCTACATAAGCTATACATCTGTATCAAAATGCATTGTATCCAGCACGCTAAATGACAAAAAAAGTAACAAAAATCATATTGCAAACATTAGCTTCCCACATCACATAAGATTCATTAATGAGAGAAAAGCCTCAGCATCTGAATGGAGGCCATTTTGGATTTAGGGAATTTGAAATCAAACTTATTAGTTCCAGTTTTTGTAAAACCCAAATGGCATGGACTATCAGGCCTAGATTTTTAGGAAGAATTTTTCATGTAATGAATGGGAGGAAGGCAAAGGTTTAAGCTTTCTACAGTGGCTTGGATTCTCCATTTCTGGAGGTTTTTAAGAATAGGCTGGACTTGTTAAATAGGTTTTCTTGCATATTGCAAAGGATTTGAATAGATGACCTTTGTTACTTTCCAATTTGACAATTCTATGACTTTACAATTAATCAATGTTTGCTAATAATTATAAGTCTTTGTTCTGATTCGGGAGGGGGGGCTGATTCATATGTCTTTCGTGACCTATTTTCAGTTTCTTTTTAAGCCCCCCCCCAAATCACAAAAAAATCAGAAAATCCATCAGATATGAGGATGTTTTTTTACACAGCATTTCCCCATGCAACCTGGATACAATTAACAAATAACACATAAGGTCTTCTTGTATTTCTGATTATGGTAGTTTCAGTAAGGTTTCAGACTATCTATGGGTATTTGGAAATAGTTACTCTCCCTTTCAATTCAGAAGTGATTTTGTGTTCAATGAGTGTGAATTACGTGTCTCACATCTCTGCAGTGTGTAAGTTCCTTCATGTATATGAAATTAATGCTTCTTCTGAACATCAATAGATTGTAATATTGCAGAGATTGATATGTATAAAACAAACTATAGAAACTATACATTTTTTCAGGTATTCACCAGTCATCTAGTAGTACAAAAATTGTCAGGATTTTCATATCACCATTGCATTTTGGATAACATTAGAAAATAAGTACAATACTACCCAACAGTGATTACCAGATTGAGTGACAGTAATTATACAATGGTTTGATTGATCAGAGTTCATCTTTGACTTTAATAACTTTTTTCTTCTTTTCTTTCTTGATCTCTTTTTTTGGCTCCTGTTCATTAATATTTTTAAATGCTGCATCTTGTCCTTCCCGTCTCCTCCACTCCCTCTCCTGTTTAGAAGAAGAAATTATATACAATTAATAAACTCAAACTTGATATAATTTGATGATCAAATTCTATCATTATATATAGTTCTGCCTTTAATAGAATATAGTTTTTAAATTAAAATTAATAACTGAGATCTCATCATTTTTGATAATCATTTTAATATTACAGCAACAAAAAGTACAAAAGAATTATAATAATATACTTGTTACAGCTATAGTGAGCAAACTTTATAATTAAAAATATGCAATTACTCTTTAGATTATTAACATCCTGTAAAACAGGGGTCCCCAACCCCCGGTCCGTGGACCGGTACCAGGCCGTGGCATGTCAGCAACCGGTCCGCACAAACAAGCAAAGCTCCATCTGCAGGATGCAGGCAGCACACAAAACCACACATTCTCCGGTCCGTGGAAAAACCTCTCTACATGGAACCCGTCCCTGGTGCCCAAAAGGTATTTGAAATGGACACCTAACATCAGAACTATCATTAAAAAGGCACAACAAAGAATGATATTCCTGCATCAACTCAGAAAGTTCAGACTGGCCAGGAGCTGTTGATACAGTTCTACAGAGGAATTATTGAATCTGTCATTTGTGTTTCCATAACTGGTTTGGTACAGCAACCAAGCAGAACAGATATAGACTTCAACGGATAGTTAGGACTGCAGAAAAACAACTGCAACCGGCCTGCCTTCCATTGAGGACCTGTGTATTTGCATGGGTCAGAAAAAGGGCTGAGAAAATATCAACAGACCCCTCATATCCTGGACATATGCTGTTTCAACCCTTCCCTTGAGGACACAGTTACAGGGAATTGCATGTCAAAACAACCAGACACAGAGACATGTTTTTCCCTCCTGCCATCGCTCTGCTGAATTCCCACTACTTATGTCTGTTTACCCACGTAGTATGGCTGTATTACTATTATCTTTCTCATATTTTCAACTACTTGGTATCGTTATTATGATTATTATTACTCTGTTGTTTTGCATGTACACTGAGAGCTTATGCACCGGAGACAAATTTCTTGTGTGTCTAATCACACTTGGCCAAATAAACTCTTCTATTCTATTTAGATAGCAAACTTCCCAAGCTCTACAATACCCAAATAATGCTACTCAAGTTCAGAACAATTTTCCTAGCTTATTCAATATCAATAAATGTAAGTAAATATCAATTGCTAATTTTTAAAACTGATTCCTGCAGTTCATAACATAGTTTGATCATCCTCGCTTTACCATATTTGCCTGCTATTTGATCAGTTTTTCACAAAGCATGCTATACTGCTTATGTTGTGATGTTACAAAAACAACACCGAGCAGGAAGTTTTTTGAAGTACAGCTATATAATTTATAAGAAAAGCATAATAAAAAATAGTTTCTCTTTTTCTGTTACAACCTTATTGCTATTCAAGTAATCTATTTTTTTCCAATTCCCATCTCTAATGAGTGAACCTTTTTTTTAAAGTAAATTATGACCAGTGTAATGGAGATGGATAATGCAATTAAAAAGTATTTGTGTGCGTACTGCTTATTCCTCAACAGAATCAAGCTGCTGATTTTATAATCTTTTTAGTCCTCAACTGTTCCATTCATGAATTTGCCCTCATGTATGAGCAAGTGAAATTATGTAAGGATTGGACTAAATTATGTAAGGATATAGCCATGCAGCCTACCTCTTCAAGTCCCACTTTCCTTAATTTTTTTGAACATCTGCAGGAGAGTTTACTTATGATCTCCCGAGCAGTTTTCCACACAGGTTTAAATGGGTTCCAGACTATACATATGATTATGTACAGGTTCAAACTTTACATTTACATTTTTTTTCAAGATGGGAAGAACAAGGGACAAAACAGAATAGGAGGAGGACAATATGGCAGAACTACTGTATATGCCGGCGTATAAGACGACTTCTGGAAGCACTAAACTCAGCGCCAAAGACGGGGGTCGTCTTATACGCCGAGTCGTCTTATACGCCGGAAATACTGGTAGTTTCCGGCGTGTAAGACGAAGTTCTAGGAATGCAGCTCGGCGATAAAGATGGGGGTCGTCTTATACGCCAGGTCGCCTAATACGCCGGCATATACGGTAATCTGCACAAATCTGCCCTCTTCAGGGTTTAATGCTAGCACACATTCAGACAAATATCTAAATCAGTGTTTCCCAAACTTGACAATTTTAAGGCATGAGGACTTCAACTCCCAGAATTCCACAGCCAGCAACGCTGGCTGTGGAATTCTGGGAGTTGAAGTCCACATGCCTTAAAATTGTCAAGTTTGGGAAACACTGATCTAAATGGTCATTTTGCCCTATTGCATTCCATACTCTGCCACATAGACAATAATAGATTACTTTGCAAAAGTATTCAGCAACAGTATGTTGTGATGTGGATCCCATTCACTATTCCAATAATTTGGTCATGCTGTTATCCAGGAGTTTCCCTTCAACCTTATTTTCTGTTTCTACCTGCAACACTTAGTAATCACTGAGCTTTTTGGTTATGTAAGCAATTGCACCCAGAGTATTAACATGGAAAATGTTGGAAATGTTAAATATTGTTTAAAGCTTTTTTTATTCAGAAAATACATACAAACACAAAGCATAAGGAAATTAAGAACAATTATGCACTGTAATTAGACTTAAACACAAATCAGTGAATGCTTCTTCTATTGCATTTGTAGCCTTCTATTTTTTATGACACTGGTTTTGGCAGTTTATTTCATTATGCTTTATTTTAATATTTGTATAGTGCTTGATACTCATAAAGACAGAGGAGCAATTTAAATGTTGCAATAAATAAATTACGAAATATCCCGAAATTACTTACAAAAGTGACACCCCACATTTCATTCCCAGCATCTTCAGCATAGTCTTCATCATTTGTAATAAGAAAGTTATCAAATATTGTACCAGATTTTCCCTGTTGAAATAAAAAATGGCAGAACTATTTAGTCACGTAATTGCATACCATCCTGTACTGAAGGAACTGTGAACAGTAAGCTTTGAAAAGACCAGAAAGGGATTTGATAGCACTCTTCATCTATCTGCAAGAATGTGATAGTTCAAGATTTGTTCTCTGTGATACCATAATACAAAATAATGGATTTAATTTATAAGATAATACTTTCAAAAATACTTCCTAATGAGCCAATGAAGAATGGATAAACTATCATTTACTTATGTTCAAACAATCATCTGTCTAGGACAGGGCTTTTCAACCTTTTCATCCATTGTACCACTTTTACGATATGGCAATATCCGAGTACCACCAATCGCCTACCAAGGTGTCAAAAACTTGATGACAAAAAAAAAAAAAGAAAAAAGAAAAAAGTGATAAAGTACAGGTAATCCTCAACTTACAACAATTCGCTTAGTGACTGTTCGAAGTTACAATGGCACTGTAAAAAGTGCTCCCCGAGCCACAGAGCAAGACACCTGCCTGCACACCCAGTGGCGCTCTTCCTCCTGTCTGAGGTTTTCATTGTTGTGAGCATTTCTGTTGCGGATTGGCAGCAGGGGTGGGGTGTTTGGTTTTTATTCCCCCCCCTCCCCGTCTGCTGGGTGGTTGCAGTAGGTTTTGGACACTTCACATGACCCTGGGACACTGACCGTCATAAATATAAATCAGTTGCCAAGCATCTGAATGTAAATCACAAGATCCTGGAGATGCTGCAACATTCCAGTTGATCGGCGCTTCTTCTGGGCTCAGCAGAAGCACCAGGATCAGCACCGAGCTCCAGCTGGAGCCTGGCACTGATCCTGGTGCTTCCACTGAGCCCTGACAGTCCCGAAGTGGTGATCAGCTGGAAAGCGACACTGACCCTGGTGCTTCTGCTGAGCCCTGACAGCCCTGCAGCTCCAGCCATCTTTCGCTCAGGCTTCTGCAGTGCTGCCACTGGTTCAGCTCATTCCCCTCCCCCGCTACCACTTTTCTAGGATGGTCGCGTACCAACTGCAAGGTGCCAATGTACCACAGGTGGTACCCGTACCACTGGTTGAAAAGCCCTGGTCTAGGATACTTCAATCTGGATTCCTACACTAACTAGCGATGGATTTGAGGTCCAAAATGCCAGTACTATGAAATAAAGTACACATATTTCAAAATAAATAAATACATATGTTCCTTAACATTTTTGTTTTCCTAAGCAAGCAAAAAGTATGGATAGTCTTTGACTTGTAACAGTAATTGGGACCAGAATTTACATCACTAAGTGATATGGTTGTAAAGCACAACCGGATCGCTTAGCAGTGGCAATGCCTGCAGTTCTGGTTACTGTTAATTGAATCCATAGTCATGGGTAAGGCTGCTGGTTTCCCACAACTAACTCAGTGGCAAAGGCAGTAGGAAGCAGCCAGTGGACAAGGGGCTGCTTCTTGGGTGGGGGAAGAGTGTGTATGTGTGGAGGGGGGAAGCACAAGGATGTGAGGATGTGCTTCAAGGGACAGGGAGGATGTGATGACGTGTAAGAATGGCAGTGTCATGGTGGGCTCAGATTTGGAATCAGGAGGAGCAGGATGACAAACAGCCAGTTCTGAAGCCAGCTCCAGGCATACCGGCAGTATATGAACAGCCAACTTCACCACTACTGGACAGACTGCCATCTGAGCAGGCAGAGAGATAGGCTGGCCAACAACCAGCAGGCACAGCTGCTGTTGCTCTCCAAAGATGAGGGTGTGGAATTACCACCTCCTCCCATCACAAGAGCTTTGCAGGCTGAAAAGAAAATGGAGCAAAGGCGCTCTGCAGGACTGCTCACACTGAAGGGGTCTCACCCCACTAAATAAGCTACAACGGGGCTTCTTCTATTAGACTGGAGCAGCAAACATAAGCTGTCTGTTGACTTGTGAACCTTGTAACTTTGGCTTTGAAGCTGCTTTGAATGGGAGCTCTCATGAGCCCAGCTTGCTAAACTTTGAAGAAAACTTGTCTCTATCCTGCAAGTCTCATTTAGTAAAGCAAACAAAATAATATCTTTGTGTACTTGTGTGTGCTTGGTCTGGAACAGGGTGAAGATCAGGGAGAAAGTGCAGAGGTATGAAGGAGGCACCGGGAGAGTCAGGAATGTGTGCAGGGATTTGCAAAGGAGGTTTGGCAAGGACTGGAGAGGGTGCATGACTGTAAGGAGGAGGGTTGAGGAGGGTGTGCAAAAGAGGCACAATGAGGCTTAGGAAGAGTTCACAAGGAAGTGAGGGAGTTGCATTAAGGCTTGGAGTGTACAGGGGTGCACAGTAATGTGTGAGATGCACATTACTGGGGAGGGTGTGTGGAATGCATGAGTGGCAGGGGAGGCACAGGGAAGATGCATGGTGGGGGGGGGAGGTGGAAGTGTCAAATATGGCACAGAGGGGCTAGAAGAGGGAGCATGGGTGAGGCAGACTTACCTCAGGAACCTATGATCTTTTCTGCTGTCTTCCCATTTACTTTCTGGGGAAGCCAGCGGGGAGGGTTGCAAATGGCAATCATGTGATCAGGGGTGCTGCAACTGGTCATAAGAGTCTGTTGCCAAGCACCTTGATCACAGTCATGTGATTAAGGAGGTGCTAAACAGCCAGAACTGTAAGGATTATTTATAACCACCATTCATTCAGTGCTGATGTAACTTTTGAACGGTTGCTGAATTAATGGTCATAAATCAAAGACTATCTGAAGATTTTTTATTTTATTTTCTTACTACGATGGTACAGAATATCTCGAGAATTGTCCATTATCTTCATAATTTGAACAATATATTTTACAAACTTTGTAATATACATACCTGTAAAATTTCTAAACCAATGACACTAATGTTATAAAATTTGTAAATATTAGGATCTGGTTTGTATTCAGGGTTGTCAACTTCTGGTTGGACCCAAATGCCATTATAATTAGGGTTTTTAATGATACGAGGTTTCCAAATGCCCTAAAAAAAATGGAAAGATGGTTGAATATCATTTTCCAAAGCTGCTTAAACCAAGGTATATAAAACAGACTGAAATCTATTGAAATGAAGGAAACACACCATTGACTTCTTAGTGAAATAATTTGAAATGTTGTTAAAGCTTTAAAAATGTATATTATACTGAATGCTATCTGCAACTATTAACATGACACAAACAACAAAAATGACAACAGGAAAAAAAAGGCATAACAGAAAATGTTGGAAGGTAATGTAGCAACCAAAAACAGAAAGAAAGGTAAAACTAGATTTATCATCAGATCTGAGAAGTGAATATTTTAAAATGAAATTTTGAAATCTATACAATAATTTGGTAGGAATTCAATGTAGATAATTCAGGGTGGCAGATAATAAATCATGATAATGAGAGAAAAACCCATGCAGTGTTTAAATAGTTTTTAGTCAACAGCTAATAACATGCTAGTTGTAATATGGTTTGGTAGTTTGATAGCTATTGTCATTTGTAAAGCATGGTTTATATTTTATCATTTAAGCAGGTTGTAGCTTATTCATCAAATTATGCTTAAAGATATATTAATTCCACATACAAAGCTACACAATGAAAGTTCTTTCCTCATAAAAAATGAAACATAATTGAGAAAGTGAAGAATAAGATAGAATACAAAGCAATGAAGATAAAGGAAAGGGAGTTGCTATAGGAAAGGAATTATCAGCATCGAGCTGAAGTTATTCTGTTGAGATGTTAATGTCTGAAATGGGATGCAAGGTCCTAAGATGCCTCAAGGATTGGAAGATTGTTCTTTAAAAAATCATCAAGAAAACATGAATGAATGGTCAATGGAGGTAAGGAGTCAAGAATGATGAAGCTAAGTGTAAATTTGTAAATGAAATGGGCAAATGAAGACTAGTGAAATGAAGACTATGATGATTTATATAATAATAAAACTAGATTCAATATCTTATAGCTTAATTAGTATTTAAATTACATTGCAAGATTAAATAACCTCTGGTCTAGTCACTATTTTATTACTTTCACTAATACTCTTACTTTATATTCAGGATTTGGAATCAATGGTGGTTCCCATGCCCCATCCATTTCTTCATCCCAGTCATCTGGCTTTATCACAGTAGGATCAGGAATTCTTTGTGGTTGGTCCCAATCCTAAAATAGTTTCATCAATGTTACTAATTGTAATAGTTAGCTTCTACAAGTATTTTGACAGGAAAAGAAAATTAGCTAATATTATTCTCCAAAGTATGGTTTATATAACTGCTTCAATAATTTTATTATTCTGATTCACTCAAGAATCAAGATACAGAATTTTGTCACCAAATATCTATTGGAAAGAATTAGCTGCAATATTTTATTATCTTAACATACTCAAAAATAAGGAACCTGCTAATAAAATATATTGTAATAGATATTTGTTTCAACCCAACCATTTAATTCTTCATGAGATAGAAGTTTTATGACTACAGAGTGGCAGCTACTAGAAACCTTTTATGTACCTCTGAATTTGGAATGTAATTAATACAACTCAAAAAGCAATTTTGAATGAATCTGTAATGGAACAATGGGCAAGCTGCTTTTCTTATTTACAAAAATACATTCAGCAGTTCACTGGATTGTTATCTGAGGTTCACCAGACAACATGATTAGCAATTATACAGCTGCACCAAATATAATTTAGCTTTATACTGCTTACATAAAGTCTGCAGTTTGGACAGAAGAAGTAATCATTCCACCACTGCAAGTCTAAAACTACTTATAGGTAATTTATATAATCAGTATTATAATTGAGATGAGAGACCAGGAGAAAGATGGCATGAAGGCTTTTTAAGTAAGTCTCTTCTATCATTCCATTTTCAATTTTTGTGAGTAGTAGAATGTTAAATACTAGTCATAATCTGTTGCCAAGATCGAATACTGATTTTAGAATTTACAGTCTAGTCCAAGGGTAGGCAACTTTGGCTCTTTTATGACTTGTGGACTTCAACTCCCAGAATTCCTGAGCCAGCCATGCTGGCTCAGGAATTCTGGGAGTTGAAGTCCACAAGTCATAAAAGAGCCAAGGTTGCCTATCCCTGGTCTAGTCCCAATTCCTACCACTATGAAATTAGATCAAAAAAGCACCACTTAAACTATACATCCTTACAAAAAAACCCTATGGAACATATATTGTTATTATAACTAATTAAAAATCAGGTAACAGTCGTAATTTCATTGTATCAGTGAAACACAGTAGGCAAATTGATACAGACAGTGAAATCATGCAGTTCAAAGTGAAACCATACATCTGGTTTTTTATGTGTGGGATCTGAAATAGTTGGCCTTTCATCCCAATAATCAGGTTTTGGCAGATCATGATCTATGATCCTTTTTGGAGGCAGGAAGTCCCAATCTTCTTCTAGATGGCCAGCCTCAACCACATAATTATCTATCTTTACTTCATAAGTTAAATCAGGACGTAGAATCAGAGTGTAGAGGTGGGTAAAGTCATCCGTCTTGAAAAAAACCAAAAACAAACATTGTTACAGAAACATGGAAATGTTTTTCCAGTGCTGTACAACTGAGTTTTGCTAATTAAATTTCATGAGGTCTAAAAAAATAATAAGTCTGCTACTAGTATGATCTATCAGTGCAGCATCCAAGAAAATTATAATCCTAGAACAATCACCAAATTTCTTGCTGCGTTAAGACTACATGCAAATAGTTAACAACAATCTATTTATACATTAAAATGAGGGGTATTGATAGTAAACAACCACAACAATAAAGTTGGAAGCAACCTTGGAGTCTTCTAGTCCAACCCCCTCCTCAGGCAGGAAACCCTATACCATTTCAGACAAATGGTTGTCCAGTCTCTTTAAAAATTTCCAGTGTTGGAGCATTCACAACTTCTGGAGGCAAGTTGTTCCACTGATTAATTGTTCTAACTGTCAGGAAGTTTCTCCTTGGTTCTAGGTTGCTTCTCTCTTTGGTTAGTTTCCATCCATTGCTTCTTATCCTGCCTTCAGGTGCTTTGGAGAATAGCTTGACTCTCTCTTCTTTGTGGCAACCCCTGTGATATTGGAACATATCATGTCTCTCCTAGTCCTTCTCTTCATTAAACTAGACCGGGTAGGCAACCTTGGCTCTTTTATGACTTGTGGACTTCAACTCCCAGAATTCTTGAGCCAGCCACGCTGAGGTAAAAGGGAAAGGTTTCCAAGCTGAGCCATGCTGGCTCAGGAATTCTGGGAGTTGAAGTTCACAAGTCATAAAAGAGTCAAGGTTGCCTACCCTGACCTAGACATACCCAATTCCAGCAACCTTACATGTTTTAGCCTCCAGTCCCCTAATCATCTTTATTGCTCTTCTCTGTACTCTTTCTAGAGTCTCAACATTTTTTTTACATCATGATGACCAAAACTGGATGCAGTATTCCAAGTGTGGCCTTATCAAGGCATTGTAAAGTGATATTAATACTTCACATGATCTTGATTTTATCTCTCTGTTAATGCAGCCTAGCACTATGTTTGCTTTTTTGGCAGCTGCGGCACACTGCTGGCTCAAATTTAAGTGATTGTCCACTAGGACTCTGAGATCTCTCTCAGTTACTACTATTGAGAAGGTACCACCCATACCATACCTGTGCATTTGGTTTTTCTTGCCTAAATGTAGAACCTTACTTTTTTCACCATTGAATTTCATTTTGTTAATAGCACCCAAATACTTGCTAATTTTCCAGCTGACTTGCTGTTAGCTTCTGACACTTGAAATAATTTACAAAATTTATCTAGAATTAGTCAACAAGCTCCCAAACAATACTGCTAAAAATTGCAAGCTAAATTAAATATTAATAATTCACTGAAAAGCATTGATCATACCTCACACGTAATGTTCTTTTTAATAAAATAGTAGTCATCTTTATAGTTCAAAATAACTTGCACTACCTTTTTATATTTTCCACATATATCAGGTCCTAGAAGAAAAGAATACCAAATTATTCTGGCAGAATTATACATACATGCATACATACATACATACATACATACATATACACACCCAGACATCCCCCCCACATATATGTATGTGTATACAGTCAAGGAAAACAAAAATAAGCACAGCACTCCAATCTTGTTTCCGCCAGAGGTCATCCACAATTGCAATCAATGTTGTTTGAGTCCCAAATCCAGGTTTGAAATGCAACTCAAAGGGGTCCAGATAATCTACTGTCTCCAGGGTTCTCAGAAGCTATATTGTCCCCATTATCTACATTTTATTAAAATATTTATTTTAGAAAACCATAGCTTTCCCTTTCCCTCTAATTAGCTTGAACTTAGTCACATCATTTTAGAAACATATACTATTAAGCAATAAAAATAAACATCCATATGAAGAAAACTTAAATTCCAAAATCTATACATTTTTGTCTTCTAGCAGTAGACAAGTACCCAATGAAATTAGTTAGTTAGTTTAAAATGCCTATAAAAACATAAGCAATAATAAAATTTTCCACATAAGCAATAATAAATTTATTGCATGGACATGCCAATATGCTGATATTTGTGTACAGTATCTGTATATTGCTAAATAATAACTATGATTTTATTTAGAATTTCCAATATGGAATACTCTTTGACATACAACGAGGGTAAACTGTTGACTTTATATCCCACCCAGTGGGTTCCTGAAATTATCTAGCCATGGTCAAGCCATGGTCAAAAACAAGATAGTATACTAAACCACAGCCCTAACATTACCCAGATAATCTCTTCATATTTTTATATAGATCTTACTGTAAAACTCAATTAACTCATTCATATATATAAGAGAACAGATAAAAATATTGAAAAACAATGTCTCTAGGGAGCTCATTTCCTGCGAGATTTACACTAACATAATATTTCTGCTTCAAATTAATATTAGTAGGCATTAAAGAGAACATACCAAACATAATATAATATGGTGAATCTTCATTCAGGATCTCTTGATTCAGATCGACAGAAAAAAGTTTGATATAGGCCCCACCACAATCAACCTGTTGGTCATATTTTACTGTATATTGAACCACTAAAGTCTGATTTTCATTGTTGAATGGCGGAAACCTTGCTGATACCGCATAGTACCTAATGTCTTGAGTTGTCTGCAAACCTATAAAAAGAAATGATATTCAAATATCCAAATAATGCTACTAATCAAGTGATTTGCCACAGGCATGAACTGTATATATGCTTTATTATTCTTTTATTAGGGATTACAATGACTTTATGAAAATTATGAGATAATATATACCTCCTTGGTTCTGCTTTAGAGGCATGTGAAATATATTAATAAACACAGCTTAGAAGTACATTATTATATTTTCACTTGCTACTTTTTTCCAAAGATATTTCTATTAATACATATAGCATGTAATATGCTACTATATCATAATATAGAATAGTTCTGTTAAAGGAAACTCTAGAAACTAAATTAATTTCTAATGCATTACTGCAGATGACTACTCAGAAGTAAGTTTTGTTGAATTTAATTATATATCTTCCCAAGTACCTGAGACTACCTGCTTCCCAGGTAGCATGTAAGGGATTGTAGTTTCATTGTGATTTATGTATTATCTATGTATATACTACTAAAACTTTTGTCAATAGATAAATTGAATGAAATGTGCATCATAGAACCAGAAATTTTGAATCAAGGGCTAATATACTGAATGCCTCCAAAATCCATCCTCCTATATTTCTTCATAACAATTCTGTGGGGTAGGATGGGCTCAAAGTAATCTGTGAGCTGCTGTGGCTGCAGATGGAGTAGAAACGGGATCTCTCTGGTGTCAGTCAAATATATTAGCCACTTTGCTTTGCCCTTGCTCATCTTGTTTCATTTTTCAACTGCTTCCCACTCTAAAACTGAGTTTATACTAGTCCCTCTTTCTGTTGCCAGAAGATCAAGTAGATCAGTCCTGCCCTAGCTTTCAGGAGATCCTATTTTTAAACAGTCTTTGTCACATGATCCTATTTTTAAACAGTCTCTGACAACTTCCTGCAACTCAGTGAAGAAGCTGGCAGGGATTCGAAACTAGTCTGAATTGAGAATGCCAATGTACAACATTGTGGTAAAAAAAAAATTAAATTAGATTAGATTAAAATTAAATTAAATGTCCGCATAATTACGCCACATGAAAAGAAAGGGGGACATCCTGGTCAAGAGATAACACCTAACATTGTCAGGATATGGCAAGGAAGAGAGATGAAGAAATAGAGAATGAAAGAGCTTCACATTTCCAGTGTCACAAGGAAAAATATAGAACGAGGAGACAAGAAAAGATAGAGAAAACAGAAGATCAAATTAAGAATATTTGGCAAACATTAATTACTCTGAGAATTCCTCAGCAAGACCTCAACAGAAAAAGAGTGAGGCAAAATGCATGACTTTCACATTGTAATATTTCTGCTGATGTTGATGCCATAGCCAAAGTCTACCCTCATTGTCATTCATTCCTATTGCTTGGAGAAACTTGAATTTCTGCTGTTTGAAGGGAAAAGTCAGGATACGCATTTTGCAACTTCTACCTAATGAATCCTCAGTTGATACAGTAATGATGAACCTATTGCAAATAGTTCAGGAAGAACACCAGACAATACAACTGCCTTTTCCAAATGATATCCTTTGATGACAAAGAAATTATTTCAAAAAGGAATAGATGGAATCCTTCTGTGATTATTCAAGGGCAAATCCATCATTACATCAGATATTTAATACCAGACCCCAACCCGCAAGCCAAATATATTCAAATTTACTTAATGGATGCTCAAGACAGCATAACATTGAGAATGGATATACTCCACATGATGAAATTAATGTGATTCTTGAATTACTGGAAGGAACAGAAAGGGAAGGAGGGAGGGAAGAGGAGGAAGGGAAGGAAGGCCTATCTATCCTGGTCCGTATCACCTCATTGTGTGTCTTCCCGGCCCACAAAGCACTTCTTGCACACAACCATTTACCCTCCCTGCCAACCCCTGCATGCCTTCCCTCTCTTGCATGTACCCATCCTGAACCATGGTGCCCCCACGTCTCCTCTGACCCACTCAATATCTCTTGATAAACTGTACCTTGTCCATGCCCATCCTGCATTCCTCCCTTGACCCTTGCCATGCCTCTTGAACAGCTTACACACCCTTTCTGACCCATGCTGCACCTCCATGTGCCTTCTCGCTGACCTGTACGGTACCTCTTGTGTACCCTAAAGTATCCCCCGGCACCCTTTTCAACACATGTGTGCCATTCCTGACTAGCATAGCAACTCTCAACACCCTGCAAGCTCCATGCATTGTTTTGAAACCACACTGTTCCCCATACCTTCTATCCTAGTCACATATCATCTCTCATAAACACCAGGGCACCCTTCCCAACCTAGGTCACCCACTCATGTGCCATACTCAAACCATGTGTCATCTCTGGCATACTTACTCATCTCCCAACCCATGCAGCACCTCTCACATATCCCTGTGTATCATTACTTACTTGCACTCCCATTCCTTCTCTCACCTAGCAGATTAAGGATAACCTGTCAGGAATTGGATGGATAGATGGAGGGAGGGAGGAAGGGAGGGAGGGAGAGAAGGAGGGAGAGAAGGAGGGAGGGAGGGAGGAAGGAAGGAGAGAAGAAGGTCGGAAAAGAGTGAGGGAAATGAGGAAACAATGAAGGAAGGAAGGAAGGAAGGAGGAAGGGAGGGAGAGAAGAAGATCGGAAAAGAGTGAGGGAAATGAGGAAACAATGAAGGAAGGAAGGAAGGAAGGAAGGAGGAAGGGAGGGAAAGAAGGAAGGAATGAAAGAAAAGGGAAGGAGAGAGAAAGGAAGGAAGATGGAAAGTAGAAATTGTGAAGAAGGGAAGGAGGGAAGGAAGTGTGGAAAGGAGGAAGATTTCTGATGATGCCTGCCAGCTTTCCACAAGAAAACTCAATGGAGAAGCCAGCAGGAATTCTGAAGTTGCTCCCATTCCCTGTTTTGCCCTTGAGAGACGTTTTATATACTGCATGGTAGAATTGAGAGGGACACCATTTCTGACTAAAGGAAGGAAATAATCCATCTAGATATGAGACAACCTGTCCTGTCAAAACGTATTTATTAATTGAAACATGTAATGGTAGAATAGCAATTGGACAACTAACATGGATCAATTTAAAATATAAAAGCATTTGAGTTACTTGGAAAATGTACATTGAAATTAACATCTTTAGCACAGACAGTAGAGTTAAGATCCCAGTTTATACAAATGCAATATATTTAAACTGAAGATGATTGGAATTTAATATGAGACTGAAGAATAAAAGATTCAGCTAGTTGGAATAAGTCTTGACTCTGACCGATCAAACTTTGAAGTTCTTCTAACTCCAGACTCTGTTGTCAAATCACAGGTAATTTTTTAATTTTCTTAATTTTAAAAATGATAATGTGATGTTGAATAAAAATTTCTCTTTGAGGTATAAAAACCCACAACTTTTTTTGAAATATATTGTGCAAATACTGGTAAAAGATACTTTATGCAGATATTTTAGCATTAGCCAAACCGATGTGAATAACTGCATAAAACTACATAATAAAATCCAGAAATTCACTAGAACACATTAAAAAAAAACCTAGTTTCATAGTTGCCTGAAAAAATATATGTATTATTTTACCTATATCTTTTTCTCTGTCACCATAAAATTTTCCTGATCCTATTCGAAATTTGCCATAATCACTTCTGTACTTAGACAGAACCCACCGTTCCTGCCATCCATCTGAAAAAGAAAAATAACATTTCCGTTTTACAAGATATCACAGCAATATTACTTCACTTTATATGAAGTTTGATTCGTGTATATAGTTTGCAATAAACCTATGATTACAATGTATATGAACTTATAATAACAAGAAAACATTTAAGAAATACAACTCATTTATTATTGTGTAGCTTAGTATACAAAATTATTAAAATTACAGCTATTTTCTTCCTTACGACTATTATATAACTCCTTTATTACAATGTAAGAAAAAGTCAATAAACTTTTAAAAATAATTCAAGTTTTATCAATTAATACGTATTAAGTAAAAACAACTCCATAAAATGCATGTTACTCAGGAATGTTCAAAAGCCATCTGGAGCTTGTGATAACTGCTCCTGGACCCAAGGGACTGTAATGCATGTTGAATCATGTCTGGTGAATTGCCAGAGTTGTTCCATGTTTAAATCACTAAATCTACAATTAAATATGCAGAGATAATAAAAAAAAATTATTTATATTTTCACCTATTGTATAAGAAAATTTCACTAAAGCGAAGTGCAGTTCAAGCTGGAAATAATTTAAGTAACAAAAACTTGTAGGTAGAGCAAATCTCCTAAACAAAGGGCTTTTCAGTTGTAACAACCTGTGTTGATCTTCCCAGACAAAAATAAGCTGGAAGAACTGATGAAATGGATTGGAGATGACCGAAGGACATACAATATATTTGACCCTATATTTTTATCTTTCTTTCCTTTGTAAGCAAATATTCAAGAATTAACCAAGCTAAATCAATCCAAAAACCAAAACATGCATTACATATATTTGAATTTATAATTATTTAAATTATTGCTATAAATAAAATTGCAATGTATATAGGAGTGGTTAAGAATTGATATAAGGAAAAGAAACTGAAATAAGGTCAGTTAATACAAAATGATTTCTTTTTGCATAGAGAGAACATATGTTACAGATGACATACCAATTTTGATATTTTGGTTTTAGAAATTACAGAATAAAAGTTTACTATAAAAACTCTTATTATTTTTTAAATGGCTGAGAATCATGATTTGAGACACACTGCATAAGGGATCCTGGACATATCTCTTCATATCCTTTTTCTTCTCCCATCCCGGCATCATTCAGTAGATTTATAATATTCATTTAAAAATTCTACCCTTAAAAAAATGTTGCTAATTTTAGACTTCTCTCTTTCTTATATCTTTCTACAGTATTAATGAATGTGCATACAGATCATTGGATGATATGATGTTATACAAATATTCATTATAGTTTATCAATGTAAAAAAAAGCAAGAATATAATTCTGAGATTGAGTGACTCTATGAAGAAGATTTAGGTTATATTCTAGGACAGAAAAAAAAGCAAAATGTCACTTACCCTCATCATCAAACTCTTCCCTAAAATATTCTTTTGTTATAACGGGTTGCTCTTTTTCTAAAACAGTGGGAGAGCTATCATCATTATCATTTAGGTTTCCCCAAGCCAGACTTATCAGAAAGTATCCTAAGAAAATCAGGTTCATCCCTGATACCATAGTAGATATTTTAATACAAGTGGTAGGATGCTTCTTTAAATTGTATAGAAATACTTGAGTATTTCTGAAATCTCTTCCTATTGCTCTCATGTACATCACTATAATTGCTACTTACAGGTGAGGAGACAGATCTTTTCCATTGGCTAAAATCCATGAATAATGATGCTATGGGGACCAACCAGAAAGAACCACGCAATTAAACCAACAGAAACTATTTAAAATGTCTCAGAGGAAATTAATTTTGTATGCACAGATGCCTAAACTAATTCAAATCAATTCACACCCAGGAAATACATGGGCTTCCTCCTATATACAAGTTTGAATGATCCCTCTATATCAGGGGTGTCAAACTGCGGCCCATGGGCCGGATGCATCATAGCAAAACTACGCCCACCCCATTGCCGGCAATGGCAAAAAAGTCACGATATATTGCGAGTTTGACACCCCTGCTCTATATACAAGTCTGAAATACTATGGAGGAGAAGACTGCATTTTCAAAACCTGCTTGAAGACTTTTAAAAAGCAAATTTCAATTAGATACAGCGATTCTATTCTTTCAGACTATAATCTATTTTCCTCCCATTTTTTCTTAGTAAGTTTGCAATTTTATGTTGTCATATGAATATGTTATTTTTAAATATCTTGTACTTTTATTTTCTAAATAAAACAAAACCATCACAGTAGAGATGAGAGAAATTAAAAAAAAACATTTCTGTTGATAATATTGGTAAATTAAAATACTGCTGAGATGTTTGGGGAGTTAGAATAAGATCATAACTAAATGGTTGGTAAATATGAACATGCAAAATGGAAATACAGATTAAGTTTAAATATAAGTGGGATTTGGGGATGACTTTTTTCTATCACAGGAATCAAATTACAGGAAAATAAAATAGATTTATTTTACTGAAAGCTAAATTTATCTCAAAATATTCAGAACAATTTTGACATTTTAAAAGAAGCAAAAAATATGATATAAAAATATGTCTTACTATAATCCTTGCAGATGTTGATGGGAGAGAGGAAAAAAGAATCAGTGCTCAAGACAGAAAGGCCTCAGGCATCTACATTATGCAGTGGAGTCTTTCGACTTTTTTCCGAATTACAGCTGTTGTCTGAGAGAAAGAATGTTCTTGTTATAACTGTAATTTATTGCTTTCTGAGCTTTCTTTTGACAATTTGTCTTAAGATATTAAGTTTGAACTACATGTCTTGAAACTTGCAAAGATCACATTATGTTATATTTTAGTTATGATTGTTGAACAAACCATAATGGCTATATTTACTCATTTTAAGCTAGAGGATGGAATACATTCAACCTGTTTGGGTCATTTATAATTCAATATATCACGCAAATTTAGAAATTTGGATCAATTGGGCAAGCTAGTTAATAAGTACAATAACAAAGATAGTTTCATGGAAAGAAAAATTGCCAGAATAAAACTTTGGTAAACAGAAGTAGATATTATACTTGATCAATTCTAATTTGAGATAATCAGGCATATATTTAAGAGAGCTGAATAAAAGCAGCCCTCCCAGACAATCTTGGCTGATCTTGAAAAAGCTATCAGGATGGACACAAAGTATAATTGGGCCTCATCAGACTCAATTTTTGGCAACGTTCTGGAAAAAAAGGCAAAAGTGGAAGACCATATAATGTGTTCACAATTTGACATTTTTATTAATATCTCTTTGGTGTACACAAATCAAACTCACAAATATTGATCAGATTTTTTATCAAGTTCTTACACGATGTTGGGGAAAGGAGTGCTTGTTTTAAGGTGTTCTTGATAAATGCTGTGTGTTCTATATATAACCCTAATATGTAGATGCTTTGAAATGATTTGTGTACTTATCTAAGGCTTTCATTTTTCTGTTCAGTGAAACACTTGCAAAGCAGAGACTGTACCCTTGCTTAGCTTGGCACATTTTCACCAGATCTGCAAGTTCCCTTGAAAGCTCATTTTCAGTTTGGCCTTTCCACTGCCCTTTTTATATCAATATTTAAAACAAAACAGCAGCCCAGGTTTACGGATGGGAAGGACAACTTTTCTACTTCCTACCTCAACTGCCAATCTCTTCAGGAAGAGTTGAACTTCTGCTTTGATTCATCACTCTCACTTCCCCCCCCCTTCCGTTTTTACTTTTTTTCAGGGGAAGAAAAGCAGATAATATTGCCTAGGAGAAGAGCTAAACTTTGTTCTCAAACAAGATTGTCTTATGGCAAACTCTTCAGCTTACCGACCCCAAGCATTTATTAAATGAAAATAATGTAATAAATACTTTAATGGTACTACAACTAATAATATTGATCCCTTGGAAAGCCCCATTTACTTTTGGGTGTCGATATTAACCACTTTGGGAAAGAGGAATTTCAACTATCTGATACTCTTGACTAAAAGAAATCTTAGTTCAAGGAACAAGCTGGAAATAAAGAATTTTTCCCCCTTTTGGCCCTCTCTCCCCACATCTGATTTTACTCTGACTGAATTTAACATCCAAATTCAATCGGACTGGATCTCAATCTGAGGAGTGCCGACAACCTAAATAAAGATTTGTCCCAAGCAGGCAGCCTGAAATCTCAATCCATTTCCGCAAACTCGGTCACACTGAGACGAAAGGGACCCACGCGCGCCCCCTTACGATTTTTTGGGGGCCCTTTCTCATTGCCTCACCCCGCACGACAAAGCCACGCCCCCTCTCTTATATGCCCTCCTCTTTATTTAGTCTCTCAACTTGTTCCTTCCGCGGCGGCTGTTTTGCTCCTCCTCGTCTCGCGCTGCTTCCCTCAGACGTTGCTCATTGACGGTGCTCGCGCTCTTTCCGGTAGCCCCCACCCCTCCCTTTCGCTTTAACCCCCGCTCGCGAGACTGGCGTTCCTCTTAGCGGGCTGTTTGGCATCTTACCGGCTCCCAAGATGGCGTCCATCATGGAAGGTCCGCTGAGCAAATGGACCAACCTGATGAAAGGTTGGCAGTACCGCTGGTTTGTGCTGGACTACAACGCAGGACTGCTTTCCTATTACACGGTGAATATGGAAGGAGGGGCCGCGCTGGAATATAAACGAAGCGCGCAGTGTGCGTGTGTGTGTGTGTGTGTGTGTGTGTGTGTGTGTGTGAGAGAGAGAGAGAGAGAGAGAGAGTTTGTGAGAGAGAGAGAGAGAGAGAGAGAGAGAGAGAGAGAGAGAGAGTTTGTGGGGGGGAAGCAGCCCGTCAAGCTGCGCGCTTGGTAGAGATAGGAGATGGGGGGGGGAGGTTTCTGAGAGAGGGCGTGTCCTACCGGAAAGCCAATCGGGATAGGTGAAATCCTGCTGGTGTCCAATGAGGAGTTAAGTTTGGAAGATTTACATGAAAGGAGCGTGCGGGAGAATTAACTTTTAATTTACTGCGACTGAAGTGGGGAAGAGGTTAAAGTCCCCGGCCTGGTCCTTGGAATGTACTGCTTGGTTTATGAAACGAATAGAACAACGCTAATCCAAAACATATCAGTGGGTGTGGAAAGGGTACTCTCTTTTCTTTTGGCATAGGTAGATTTTCGAATTGGAAGGAACCTTGGAGGTCTTCTAGTCCAACCCCCTCTCAAACAGGAGTCTCTATACCGTTCCAGATAAATGGCTATCGAATCTCTTAAAAACCTCCAGTGATGGAGCATTCACAGTCTCTGGAGCTGGGGTTCTCAACCTTGGCAACTTTAAGACTTGTGGACTTCAACTCCCAGAATTCAACTCCCAGCTTTGCTGGCTGAGGAATTCTGGGAATTGAAGTCCACAAGTCTTAAAGTTGTCAAGGTTGAGAACCCCTGCGTCTGGAGGCAAGCCTTTCCACTAGTTAATTGCCCTGTCAGGAAATTTCTCCTTAGTTCTAATTTGGATCTCAGCTTGATAAAAAGTTTCCATCTGTTACTTGTGGTCCTACCCTCACCTGCTTTGGAAAACAGGTCGACCTCTTCTTAATAAAGACATACTTAAAAGATTTAATAAAGATAAGACTTTACTTAGTAATAGCTTCCCTTAATAAAGACTGGAACTGTTATTGTGATGGTATTTGAGGGTGGAAATACTACATTTCTGGATAATGAGGTTATCACATATGCATGTAATTTCTTTCCGCTTAGTTCAAGTAACCTGTGCAAACTTGAAATTAATTCCAAATGAACTCTCTGAAGCTCCCATCTATTAAGCCTTAAACTAAGGTAGGGTTTATTATGTGTGCTAGTATGATAAATTTCATAATAATTTATCTTTGCAGAATGAAAGATCCATTAAATAAGAAAACAATAGAAAAAGTGGTAAACATTATGCTATGGTAAATGTTCTTGAGGTACCATTATTCTTTTCCTGCAACAATCTGTCTGAAAAAAAATTCAGCTAGCATAATATTTTTCGTACTGCAGTGGCCAGCAAATCACATTTACAAACTACATTGAGACAGGCTAGTGTCTGTTTATGTGCTAGTGAAAAATTATAGTAATTCACTTATTAGACTATATTTCTTCTGCCTCCTATTTAGCTGCATTTAATGTAAAAATATATTTATTTTAGTATAAAGGTTTTTTTTCTTTTAAATCATGTTTGATTCTCAGAGACTGCTTAAACATGTCTCTGTAGTTTTTTGGCAAGGTTTTTTTAGAAGTGATTTGCCACTACCTGTTTCCTAGGGCTGAGACCAAGTGATGGTCCAAGATCACCCAGCTGGCTTTGTGCCTAAGGCAGGACTAGAACTCACACTCTCCCAATTTCTAGACTGATGTCTTAAACTGTACACCAAACTCAAAATTAAGTTTTAAACTTTTTAAAAGTAGTTTTTTTAATTGAGTAAAATTGACTGTCAGTGTCAGACTTTTTGTGTACCATACGTCATCAAATATTAATTCCTCTCTTCCCTCCAGCTTATTCGATTTTAATTTGTTCAGATTAACTTAATATATATTTAGTAATTTAAATCTTATGGAAGTTGTAAAAATTGCTCTCTTATGGGGCTAGTTTCGGTTGCTACTCTGTATACATTTCCTTCAGAGAGACTTACTTTAAAATCAGTTGCTAATATTTTGCTATCTGTTTTATGTCCTGACTAATTCTGTTGGTTATTTCTACATCTCTAATTTTGTTGTTATATACTAGAATTATATATAATATGCAGCAAGTTCACCATGGTATAAAAAAACAGTAATCTTTTCTATCTGATACAGAATTTGTCTGTATCCAATTTCTTTTTTTATGCATATAATTGCTAAACTGCTGTCTTTAGGGAACAATTCAGAGTAACTGCAATGAATTTATAATGTAAAATAATAATTAAAAAACTAGACAAAAATCTCAGTAGCCCAAACAGCAGGATAAGTAAAACAAGCAAACTAACAAAATATTTATCATTGAGAATGTTCCAACTACTATAGGAGGAAGAAAATAATTTCTTAATTTACCATTGTGTAATATTTTCCCTAAAATGTATTTGTTTAGTAATCTTAAATGTATGATTTATAATAATAAAAATTATGTAGAATATGATTATTGATATATATTGATATTATTGGAATAGAAGTTAAAATAGGAAAAGAAGTGGAAGTTGCATAAAATAACAACAAAAAAAGCTTCTTTCAACATGTAAAAAACAAGAAAAAAGTGAAGGAAATGATAGGTCCATTAGTGGGGGAAAGTGGCAAGAAGGTGACAAGCAACAGGGAGAAAGCAGAACTATTTAATTCATTTTTTGCATCTGTCTTTACACAAAGGGAAAAAACAGACCAGCCTACCAAAAATAGTGCCATAAAAAACAGAATAGAAACGCAAGAAAACGGTAAGTGAGCACCTGTCCAGCCTAGACAAGTTCAAATCACCAGGACCAGATGGATTACACCCCAGGGTTCTCAAGGAACTGGCACATGTGATCTCAGAACCATTGAAATATATTTTTCAAAGATCCTGGAGCACTGGGGAATTACCAGAGGACTGGAAAAGATCTGATGTAGTTCCCATCTTCAAAAAAGGAAAACAAAATGGACCCAGGAAATTACAGACCTATCAGCCTGACCTCAATACCTGGAAAGATTCTGGAAAAGATAATCAAACAACGAATCAGCGAACACCTAGAGGCAAACAAAGTCATTACTAAAAGCCAACATGGGTTTGTCAAAAACAGATCATGCCAGACAAATCTTATTGCATTCTTTGACCAAGTGACAAAATTAGTGGATCAGAGGAATGCTGTGGATATAATTTACTTGGACTTCAGTAAGGCATTTGATAAAGTAGATCACAACCTACTACTTGATAAGATAGAAAAATGTGGGTTAGACAGCATCACCACCAGATGGATCCGTAGCTGGCTGACCGGCCGTACTCAGCGTGTGGTCCTCAATGGAACCACATCTACATGGAGGGAAGTGTGTAGTGGGGTGCCCCAGGGCTCTGTTCTGGGCCCAGTGCTCTTCAACATCTTCATCAACAATTTGGACGAGGGATAGATGGGGAATCATGAAATTTGCAGACGACACCAAACTGGCAGGAATAGCCAACACTCCAGAAGACAGGCTTAGGATACAGGAGGATCTGGACAGACTTGAACACTGGACGCTATCTAACAAAATGAAATTCAATGGTGAAAAAAGTAAGGTTCTACATTTAGGCAAGAAAAACCAAATGTACAGGTATAGTATAGGGGGTACCTTGCTCAATAGTAGTAACTGTGAGAGGGACCTCAGAGTCCTAGTGGACAATCACTTAAATATGAGCCAGCAGTGTGCTGCAGCTGCCAAAAAAGCCAACACAGTGCTGGGCTGCATTAACAGAGGGTTAGAATCAAGATCACGTGAAGTATTAATACCACTTTACAATGCCTTGGTAAGGCCACACTTGGAATACTGCATCCAGTTTTGGTCACCACGATGTAAAAAAGATGTTGAGACTCTAGAAAGAGTACAGAGAAGAGCAACAAAGATGATTAGGGGACTGGAGGCTAAAGCATATAAGGAAAGGCTGCTGGAATTGGGTATGTCTAGTTTAATGAAGAGAAGGACGAGGGGGGACATGATAGCAGTATTCCAATATCTCAGGAGCTGCCACAAAAAGAGGGAGTCAAGCTATTTTCCAAGGCGCCTGAAGGCAGGACAAGAAGCATGGATGGAAACTAATCAAGGAGAGAAGCAACTAGAACTAAGGAGAAACTTCTTAAACAGAACAATTAACCAGTGGAACAACCTACCTACAGAAGCGGTGAATGCTCCAACACTGGAAGTTTTTAAAGAAGAGACTGGACAGCCATTGTCTGAAACGGTATAGGGTTCCTGCCTGAGCAGGGGGTTGGACTAGATGACCTCCAAGGTCCCTTCCAACTTTATCTATTATTATTATTATATATGAATTATTATTATATTATTATATCGATCATCGCACAGTCAGCCAGATGTTCAGACTGGATTTGGCATTGTGTCTACCTATCGAGTCCTTACCCAGGACCTTGGGATAGGCAGATGTGGATGTTTGATGGTATTACAGATATCGTCGCAGGATGGAAGCAGTTTCTAGTAAGGCCGCCTTTTGCAATTGACTAATAGCGAATTTGTCAATGCCAATGGTGTTCAAGTGGTGCTCCAGTTGTTTTGGGATTGCACCCAAGGAGCCTATGACTATTGGTACTACCCTTGCTTGCTTTTGCCACAGTCTTTCTATTTCTATTTGTAGGTCTTTGTATTTTGTTATCTTCTCCAGTTCTTTCTCTTCTATTCTGCTATCTCCAGGCACTGCCACGTCCACTATCCAGACTTTTTTGTCTTTCTTATCGACAATTGTTAAGTCTGGGGTGTTATGTTGCAGGTGCTTGTCTGTTTGAATTCTGAAGTCCCAGAGCAGTTTAATTTTATCATTTTCTATGACTTTCTCTATTTTATGATCCCACCAGTTTTTGCTTACAGGCAAATGATATTTTTTTGCAGATCTTCCAATGCACCATTGTTGCTACTTTGTCATGCCGCTGCTTGTAGTCAGTCTGTGCAATCTTCTTGCAACAGCTTACCAAGTGGTCCACTGTTTCTTCAGCTTCTTTGCATAGG